AAGGTCCTCGCCGAGAAACAAATGCACACGTCCGAGCGATGCCAGGCCAAAGTCTAACCCGAAGACGCGGAAACCTCTTAGAAGGAGGCGCGAGGGCTTCCGAGAAGCCCCGCCGCCTTCGGAGAAGGCCTCCTCCTTCTCGCTTCCATGTGAGCGTTTTCCTTCTCGGTGTTTCAGCATTGCGGAAGGGGGGGGGGGTCTGGCTCCGGACCTCTGCTGAATGCCACTGTTGGGAACCGTGGGGGAGGGACTCCACCTGCTCGAAACAGGCGCCCGATCAGCCAAGATCTACTCCAGGGGGGGGGGGGGAGAGGAGGGGGGAGCGAGGGCCCGCGCCGATCGGCAGAACAAGGAAGAAGAGAACGGTCGCCATCGAGTGCAGCGTCTCGCTGCTTCGCAGCGTGGGGCCCCCGGGGCCCTCCGACCGCTGACCGCGGCGCCGCCCGAGGCCGGGCGCGCGCGCGGCCGGGGAGCGGCGCGCCTGGCGGCGGAGCTCCAGCGCGCCCGCTCGCGGCGGTGCCCGCGGCGGCGCCCGCAGCGGCGCCCGCGGCAACGCCGGCGGCGGCGCCCGCGCCCGCGCGCGGAGGCCGCGCCGGCGCCCCCCCCGCGAGGCCCCCCCCTGGGAGGAGGAAGCGGAGGGGAGGGGGAGGGGGAGGAGGAAGGAGGAGGAGGAGGAGGAGGAGGAGGAGGAAGAGGAGGAGAGGAGAGGAGGAAAGGAGGAGGAGGAGGAGGAAAGGAGAGGAGGAGGGGAGGAGGAGGGGGGGGGGGAGGAGGAGGAGCAGGAGCAGGAGACCCCCTCGAGTCATTCAAAAATCGCTACGGGGGGCTTCTCCACATGTTCGGCCTGTGGGGCCCCTTGCCGGGCCCCGGGAGCGTCAAAGAACGGAATGGGTCCAGATCTCTCTGCCCCGCTGGGCTGGCGGGCATCCCCTTGCGGCTGTGGGGTTCCGAGGCCCCCTCGTTCCGAGAGGCCCCTCGTCGAAGGGGGCCCTCGGGCAGCAGCCCAGAGGTCGCCTGTTCGGCCTCGAGGGCCCCCTCGAGCTCCGGAGCGTCCGAGAGGGGAGCCGTCCCAGAGGGGGGTTCGCGGAGCATGGCTCGAGAGGCACGTGTGCGGCACAGGGGGTGGGGAGGGGCCAAGGGACCCATTGAAAAAAGGAAGAGGGGGCCGCGTGACCTGGAGAGGTAATTACCAGGGCCCTGGCCGTGAGCTCCAACCCCCCCACCGGGGGGCCATTGTCGCCCCCCCGCCCTCTTCCCAGACCCCCGACGTCGTGACTTTTTAGCTACGTCGACCCCCATAGAGGTCTGGACCCTTTCTCTGGGACAGGTTCTTCATCCCGAGTCGTTTTTGTTGACGGCCCGGGGGCCTGGGAAGGGCCCTCGGAGGCCGAACTCCCGTCGCGTTGATTTCACAGCGCGAGGGGGTCTGGGCAACACCACAAAAGGGGGGGGGGGCGGGCACCTCCGGCAGGAAGAACCGCGCCACCGGGAAGCAGAAAGACCCCCCCCTGGCGCGTCGCGCTGGTGGCGGTGGTGGTGTCGCCTCTCCTTGCTCCCAGGAGGGCTCCCTCCTCCCCCCCCCTGCCGTCGAGACTTGTTCGCAGCGCGAGGGGGCCTGCGTTGGCTGCGCACCCGAGGGACCCTCGGCGCCTCAGCGCCTCGCGCTCCCGCCGGGCCGCGTCGCCGCGCGCGCCAGGCTTCCGTGGCCGGCGCCGCGGGAGCCGGCCGACGGCCCGCAGGGCCCTGCAGGAGCTCCAGGGTTAAGTCGGGCACGTCCCCCTCCCGCTGCGGCAGGCGAGCACGACGGAAAATGTGTGTTCGGCCTCGGGGGCCATCTCACAGTGAGAAAGACAACTCTGCTTGAGAAGGTACAGGGCGCGACTGTGCAATCAACACCTTCCACATGCGCGGTGGTATGGATGACACGAACATTCCTCCCAACCCCGTCCTCCCAACCCGATGATTGGTTTTCGGACACTGTCGGACGCCCGACATGGGTACGGCAGAAATGGGTACGATGCCCATCAACACAAGTTGTCCAAAACCGACAGCGGCCGCTGTTGGGCAGGCGGCCTTGAGTCTCAATGCGCAACGCCCGCGACGATGCAGACAGCGAATCCTGTTCAGAATAACCAAGAACTGTTGTTGGACTTTGTACCCATCGTTTCCGTACCCCTTTGTTTCCCCCGGAGGAGGAGGAGGAGGATCGAGGAGGAGGAGGAGGGGGAGGAGGAGGAGGAGGAGGAGGGAAAGGAGGAGGAGGAGGAGGAAGCACTGGGCCCATGGACGGCCAAACCGCGACTCGGGTGGAAGAGCCGGTCCCAGGGAAGGGGCCCAGACCGCTGGGCAGCCGGGCAAAGACTCGGCACAGGCTGTCCGGGAATGCCCCGCGGGGCGCGCGGGTTCCCCGCCCCCGGCGGGCCTTTCGGGACCTTTTTCGGGCCCCATCGCTCCTCGAGGATCGAGGATCCATCGAAGCTCGGATATCCACGAATTCCTCCCTCCTCCTCCTCCTCCTCCCTCGGTGTTCCTCCTCTCCTCTCACCTCGGTAGTTCTTCTCCTCATCCTCCCTCCTCCTTCCTTCCTCCTCCTCCTCCTCCTCCCCTCCTCCTCCTCCATCCCTCCTCCCCCCTCCCATCCTCCCTCCTCCTCATCCTCCCACTTCTTCTCCTCCTCCCAGCTCCTCCTCCGTCCCCTCCTCCTCCTCCTCACTCCTCCTCCTCCTCCTCCTCCTCCCTCCGCCTCCTTCACTCCACCTCCAGGTCCTCTCGTCCTGACCGAAAAACGTCCCTAGTCCTCAGTGGACTCACGGTCTGCGCTGGCATGCAAGGCGCCAGTGCCTCACGACCCGGACCCCCCGCTGCAATCGAGGGGAGGCAGGCGAGCGGAGCGGACGAGCAGTAGCCAGCCGCGGACGGAGCCCCCATGCCTGAGATTGACAGCCCGAGGCGATGAGGGCATCCTTCGGTCCTTCGGATCCGCACCGAAATGAGGAGGTACCAATCTCGGGGATGGACACAACCCCCTCCAGCAAAACGCGGCTTGGTGAAGACGGCCTCGGGCCCAAACCTGGCGGGCGCAAGCCTGGAAAATGACGGCCGCGGCGCCCTCCGGAGAACCGAAAACAGACAATTCACTAATCGACGTGTCAGGGTGGGGGTTCTGTCCAATCCCGAACATCATAGGGACAGGGATATCTTGCTATCGGTCGGACGCTCATTCCTCTGGCATTTTTCGGTTTCGCGCGTGCTCCTCGATGGTCCTCGCCGAAACCCAATGCACACGTCCGAGCGATGCCAAGGGATGTTCCAGGCTGGTAGAAACAATATCCCTGGGTCCCAAGGTGGCCTCAGACCACCTCGCACAGCAGGCGATCGAGAAAGGTGCCTTCGACGCCCCGCGTCATGCAACCTTCGGTGGCAAGTCATGGAAGCCTCCCGCATCATCTTGACGGCTCTTGCGAATCGGCGCTGGTCGACGCGAATCGACGCTGAATCAACGCTCATCGACGCTACGTCGGCACTCTCCTACTCCTATCGATTATCAGACGCTGATCGACGCCAGTGCACTCCAGAGACAGAAGTACGAGGGTGCACACAAGGCTCCCAGAATCTGCTGCCGAAGAAATGTGCCCCTCGACGCCCCCCGTCATTAGCCAGCCATGTCACCCGACTGGGGACACCAGCAGGCACCGATATCGGGAGCGGCCAAGAGGGGGGTGTCCAAGAGGGGGGGGTGCAAATCATGACCGGCGGCACGTGCGCGGCCCAGCGGGGGGGCCAGGGACGCAAAGAAATAAGAAGAGGCGCCATGAAATCTGGGGAATTTCATGGCCCACGCCATGATATCCCCCCCCCCCCCTAGTCATCACCCCCCTCTTTGCCGCCCCCGACGCCGCTGCTCCCCAGACCCCTCCCGGGGCGCGGTCCGACCAGGATTTCGAGGCGAAGCCAGCGGTGGCGACGACGGAGGCCCAGGAGGCACAGAAAGGGGGAAGACGAGGGACCCGCCATCGCTCGGACGTCCACTCCCTGTGCTGCTTTCTCGGCTTCGTGCGAGGTTGTTTCGCGCCAAGTGATCACGGATCTTCCTCGATTGTCCTCGCCGAAGGAAACATGCACACGTCCGAGCGATGCCGAGGGGATGGGGCAGAGGCGGGGCAGTAAAGGTGTTCTGGTCGACTTGGGAATGCAGATCTCTTGGTTCAGACATGAAAGCGGATACGTTTGAGGTCTTGGGGGGGTCTGCGCATCATGCAATTTTTCATTTGACGTCCAGGGGGGGGGGTCTGCGCATCATGCACTTTTGCATTTGAGCTCCAGGCGGGGGCCTCTCGTCCTCCTCGGACCGGCTGCGCGCTTCGCGCGCTGCACAACTCGGGGGCCCCCGCGCCGACCCCGGAGGGGGCAGCCCTCCGGCCCAGGCTTCCGGCGCGCGAGGCGCGAAGAGCTCGGCTGCCCTTCGCGGGAGGCGGGAGGGAGGAGCGAGGAGGGAGGAGCGAGGAGGGGGGAGGGAGGAGGGAGGAGGGAGCAGGGGGAGGGAGGAGGGGGGGAGTGAGAAGGGAGGAGGGAGGGGGGAGGGAGGAGGGAGGAGGGAGGAGGGAGGAGGGAGGAGGGAGGAGGGGGGAGGGAGGAGCGAGGAGGGAGGAGGGAGGAGGGAGGAGGGAGGAGGGAACCCACCTGGGAGCAAGGAACGGCGACACCACCACCACCACCAGCGCGACGCGCCAGGGGGGGGTCCTTCTGCTTCCTGGTGGCGCGGTTCCCCCCGCTGGAGGTGCCCGCCCCCCCCCTTTGTGTGGCGGCAGACCCCCCTCGCGCTGTGGAAAAAAAAAATAAATACGACGGGAGGTGTCTCGCTGTGTTCGGCCTCCGAGGGCCGTTCCCGGGCCTCCGGACGGTCAACAAACAACTCAGGATGAAGAACTGGTCCCGGGGAAAGGGTCCAGACCTCTATGGGGGGGTCGACGTCGGAAACAAAAATCACGACCTCGGGGGTCTGGATGTCGCCCCGCCTTCCTCCAACCACCTCGGCCGGCGTCCCGCAGACTCGCTCTCCGGCACGCGCGATGCGGGAAGGTCGTACAACGCGGACGGACGCCCAGAAGCAAAGTGCCCCTCGGAGTGGGCGGCGGCGGCCTCTGCAGGGTGGACGGCGCTCGCCCTCTGAACGGATCGCCGCCGCCTGGACAGTCACCCAATTCTGCAGGGCTGGACCTGGACCTAGAACGCTGTGCTTCGTGCTGTGCTCGTTGTGGAATCCGTTTTGCTCGACCTGTGTTCCTCCTAGGGCGACGAAATCTATACATATCCACTGCTCCCTGGCCAGGCCCATCCTCAACCCCGCAGCGGTGTATACGCCACGCCCTCCTGGCTTGGCCAGGAGGGCGCATACACAGCTCCTGGGTTCAAGATGGGCATGGTCAGGGAGCAGTGGATATGTATAGATTTCGTCGCCCGACCTCCGCCTCCCTGCCAAGACGAACAGCAACACACAGCCGAAGCCCTGCAGGACAGCGTGCAGGCCCAGCCCTGCAAGGCTTTTGTCGGCGGTGCCCCGTCGTCCGGCGGAGAGAGGCACGCGCGTCGACCGGGCCTGCCTCCCGGGCCGCGCGGCGGCACTCTCCTGAGCCTCGGGCGCGAACGCTGGCGGTGTCCAAGCCGATGGGGGTGGGTGGGCTCTGCCACGATGGAGCCGGCCAGCGAGGAGGGCCAGGGAGGAGGGGACGGAGGACAATGGCGAGGACGAGTTGGCGGAGCAGAAAAAAAAACCACCGCGGCAACTGTCGTGCACTGGACGTCGGGTGGACCGCAGCAGAAAGCTCAGCCGACCTAGGAGAGGGAAGAGCGTAGAACGACGACCCAAGGATGATGAGGAAAGAGGACGGCGATGGGGCGACGCAAAGAAGATGGTAGGAACCAGCATCTCTGCAAGGAAAACTCGAGGAGCGAGATCTGTACAACTAAGCGTGGCCAGACCGCGTCGCTGAGACCTCATTTCAAGCCACGGCATATGATCGGGAATCGACTGTCGCGCGCTGTCATCATAGGTCTGGGGCGATGCGTGTATAGATTTGCCAAGGACCGTATTATACCCGCGTTCCTTCAAGAATCCTTGCTATAATTACCGTGGCGACTCCGTGTCGTGTTTCCGCCCAACTGCCTGAATCGATGGAACCTCTATTGATCTTTTTCTTCCGCGCTGTCACCCAGAAAGCATGCCATCGACGATGGTAATTTAGTGCGGACTGCTATGACTAGCAGTAGAACTGTACCGAGCACTTGCCCCGCGTGGCAGAAGGGTCCGAGTGCGTAGAACTGATCGCTGCTCATCAATGATCCAGATGGGCCGCACTGTGCTGGGTTGAACTGGGAGTCGTACACAACGTGGCGAAGTGGATCTAAGCAAATGCAAACACCTGCGACAACTACCCAGCATGACAATCGCGTCTGGCCCCTTTGCAGAACATACGTCATGAAACCAGCAAAGCCAGCAAGTATAAAAGCAAACTGCAGCTGATGCGACAAGAAAAATAAACCATTGTTGATTGCAATTCCAGAAACAGTCATCAAGACTGCTGGCAAGCATCAGAAGCCTGCCAGCATCGGAAAGCTGAAGAAAATTATCGCGCCTGAAAACCAACCATCGTTACCAGAGCCTGCTATCTCGGGAGCTCCTGTAGATCAGCTTGAGGCGGTCTGCGACTTCGATGGCTGTCCCAACATGCTGCGTGGCAATGGGCTGCCTGAAACTACAAAGTGTCTGACTCAGATTGGCCCCGGACAAGATCGATTTGTCCAGAATTGCCTGAGCCATGGACTTCTGACAGTCACACGACCGTCCACGGCGACCACGTAACCTCAACCCGGGCGAACCGACAGCTCATCCGAAACCGACCGGATCCGAATTCGATCTACCAGAAGCAGCCGAGAAGGACGCAACGACGCGGCAACGACGCAACAACCGACCGAACCGAAGTGAGCGAATGCAATCGACTCCGGCGCAGCCGAACCGACCGAACCGCGTTCACCCCTCTGGTAATCCTCGCCGCCTGGTTTTTGGATCATAGTGCGGCTCTCCTGCGGCCGTTCGGGACGATGCCGGCGCCACAATGGAGCACCCTACGCGTGGCGCGGCTGCTGGAAAACACTCCGAAACTAAAAAACCGACGGGAAGCAACGATAACGTCCTAAAAGTGCGGACCTCGGAACTAGAAGAAATGCTAGCCCGGGTGGGCCCCAGACGGTGTGTTTCCAGCAATCTATGTTGTGCAATCTACGTGGGGCAATCAATGCAGTGCAATACTCGTGGAGCATTGAATGCGTTGCAATCTATATGATGTTGCAATCTAGATGATGTAAGATGATGTGTCATAGATGTGGTGCAGTATGTCTGGAGCAACATTGTGGTGCAACCTATATGGTGCAATATTTATGGTGCAATTTGTGGTGGGGCAATCTATGTAGTGCAACCTATGCTGTGCAGTGCTATGCTGTGCAATCTATGTGGTGATTCGATCTAGTAGGTCAACATGCGTTGTGAAATATAGGTGGGGAGATATATGTGGTGCAACCGATGTGGTGCATGATAGGTTGTGTTACATCTAGACGTAAATATAGATACTGCGCCACCTATGGTCTGCATGTCTTGTGGTGCGATGTGTGTGGTGCACTATACGTGAAGCAATCAGTGTGTCGCAACACATGTTGTGCAACCTGTATGTGGTGCAACACATGTGAGGCGCTTTCGTGGTGTAACCCATAGGAAACAATATATGGTTGCTTCGTATGCTATGCCATGTACGTCGTGCAATTTATGATGTGCACTGAAACATACAATTGGTGGGGTGCAATCTATGCTGTGCCAGATTTGATGCTGCTCGATAGATGGTGTACAGTCTATGTTGCTCGATATACGTAGGCAACCTATTGTGTGAGCGAACACTGGGCGCGCGTAGAAGGCGAACGAGCAATATGCGATCTACGTACTGCAATATATGTGGGCCAATCGTAATGATGCAATTTGTGGTGCAGGCTACGAGGTGCAACCTACTAGATGCAATTAATCATTTGCCGAACTTGAAGTTGTCAACTCCACTGCTTGCGCAATCATCCCCCCCACCCACCCGCAACTTGGTTTGCAAAACCCATGCGGGACCGAGCACAGATATCGCTCCGGGGTCGTCTTGGAGCCCTCGGGGGCGTCTCAAGAGCGCCCCAAGAAGGCCGGAGAAGCAAGACGGCCGACGACGACGACGACGACGGCGGCGACGACGACGACGCCGACATCGACGACGACGACGACGCCGACGCCGACGACGAGGACGACGACGACGTCGCCAACGAAAACGACGACGAGGGAGGAGGGAGGACGACGACGGCGACAACGACCACAACGACGACAACGACGACAACGAGGGGGGAGGGAGGACGGCGACGACGCGAAGGACGAAGAAGGAGGAAGGACGGCGACTCCGACGACGACAACGAGGAGGGAGGAGGGAAGACGACGACATGACGACACACCGCCAATCAGGCCTAAACGACGGACGGCGACGAAATAGGAGGGAAACTGAACGGACGAGAGAAGAACATGGTTGGCCGACGACGAAACGAAGACGAAACGTACGAGGGAAGGAGGAGGAAGACGACCCCACGGCGACAGGACAAACCAAAACGCGAAACGGAAACAACGACGACGGAAAAAAGACCACGACGAACCCAGAGAGGACGAGTCTACGGAACGACGAACACGAGGAAAGACAACACAAATACGAAAAACAAACGTAGGCGGCGTGGACTGGAAGACAGACGGAACTACCGTGAGGAGGGAAAGGGGACGTCGGGGGCGAACAAAACGAATGAACGGACGTAAAACGGTGACCGAAAAAGGTGACGCCGCAAGAATGTGCGGATCCCGAAAGGCGAAAAATCACAAAAGTGTTCCGTAAACACTAGCACATGCTTTGTTGAAAATACCGTGTATTGCGAAACCTGTGTTTGTTGTATGGTTTATTTTGGACGGACCCGAGCGATAGGCACAGTAAAGTGTAAAGACCAGTAGTAAAAAGCGAAATTTTTGAAAAAAAAAACAAAAAAAAAAAAAAAAAAAAAAATAAAAAAAAATAAAAAAAAAAAAAAAAAAAAAAAAGAATACCTTCCGAAACCGATGGGTTTTGAAGGATTTCGGCGTACGCGCGCGACGACGCGCGCGTCTGCACTTCATCCCGTTTTTTGCAGAGGATTCTCGCGACGGTACACGCGCAAGGGCGTTCGACAGATTTCGACATGCGCGCGCGACGCCCGTTTGGTAGCATGTTGTGAAATCTAAAGAAAAAACAATGGTTTTCTTAAGATTTCGCAAGAGCTCGCGCGCAAACTTTTTTTAGCAAGTCAATGTTGCGAAACCCTGCTTTGTATGTTTTTGGGGAAACTCAAATGCGAAATCCTTCCGGCACAAAAGGTTTTTTTCCAAGAAGTTTGGCATGCGCGCGCGCGACGACGCAAGCGTG